TATTTATAATTAGTTTAGCTTGTTCCTGAGGTAGATACAATAGCTAAGGGTGTTAGGTCTAACTCTTAGTGTGTGTTTTGCTCCGCACAGCGGAGGCGGAGCTGAGCTGCAGGATTTCTGCTGCACACACGTTGCATTAGGGGTGTAACGGTTCACAGTATGCACGGTTCGTTATGTACCTCGGGTCACCTCGTCAAGCAGCGGCACCTTCCCTGGTAGAGGCACGCCACCTAGCAGAGGCTCCGGGGCCGACGACAACGACTAACGGCTTACAGCTAACGGCCGTCGACAACAACTAGCGGCTAACGGCTAACGATGACGAGTAGCAGCTAGCGGCTAACGACGACGACTAACAGCTAACGGCTAGCGGCTAACGGCTAGCGGCTAGCAGCTAACGGCTAGCAGCTAACGGCTGACTTCATCATCCATCTGTTAACATCCAACTGTTAACCCTTTTTTTTGTGGTGCCGGAGAGGAGGTTCGACCAAGTCTGGTCGGCCTCGTGTGGATCCTCTCACAATTTCGCCCACCTGTTTTCGGTAGTGGACAGGACGACCCTTTTAAGCTTTTTCTGGTGCACGCCACTCATAAAAAAAGGCGTACCGTTACACCCCTACGTTGCATACCGCTATTTTATTGTCTTTTTCGGACACATTAAAATACTGCCAGACTGGTGAAGCCATGTTGGTGAGCTTGTTTTGCCGCGCACAGAGAAAAGTGTCATGTATTTTACGTCATGTGATCGGCTCTCCCGATCGGCCTTTATAGAGAGCACCGATCGATCGGCAGAGAGTGAATATCGGCCGATATCGATCGGAGCATCCCTACTTTAAAGTATAATATGACATTGTGTTAAGGAGATAAAGTGCATAATCTGGTTACCTAAAGATGCTTCACATTAACAAACAAGATATTATGACTAATTTAATAACAAAAACAATAACACTCATTCCCTGCTAATGTGGTTAATTTGAGCACAAAGGACTGCTTCCCTCTGACATGATGTTTGGATATCATTAGGCTGGAGGAACGCCAGCTCGGAGATGTTTAACCGTGGCTGTTTTTTGTTGCCGTTGTTGTCGCGCTCCGCTCCGCTGGCTCTTTTCTCGGCAGAGTTGTTGTTGTTGTTGTGACTCATCTGTCTCCTGTCAGCAGTGACGGAGAGAGAAATTTCATCTCCGTAAGAAAAACCCATCCTTCAAAGCTGTCTGCAGAAACAGCCATCAGCACTTCCTCGTTTTACACTTCCCCCTGTCCTTTTCGTGTTCTTTCCTTTCTCGCTTACTAGCCTGTATCATTATTTTCCTCTTTCGTTCTTTTCTCTTCATTTCCTATCCTTTCTCCTTTAATTCCTTTCCTTTAGCTTCTTCTCCTTTTTATTTCCTTCACTTTTCGTCTTTGTCTCTCCTCCCCTCTCAAGTCCACATCCCATACTTCCTTTCCCTCTATATTTAATTTAAATTCCCTTTCCTTTAGTCTCCTGATCTATCCTTTGACCTTTACTCTTTCCTCCCCTTCCTTTAGCTGAATTTTCTTTCTTCCTATATACTTACCTTGTCTATACTTACTTTTCTTCACCTATTATCTTTCCTATGCTTTTATCATGTCATTCCTTTGTGATTTTCTTTCCTACATTTACTTTCATTAACGTTTTACTTTTTGCTCCGTTTCCCTTCTTTAGCTTTTATCTTACCTCTCCTACCTTTTTATTTATTATCTCTTTTTTATTAGTTCAGCATCTCTTCTTTTTGCAAAGGCACTAATGATATAATTAGACTCGATTCAGTAGCATCAAATGTATTAAATAATTACCATAAATAAATGTTACAACAATGTATAACCACCATTATTTTGTGGTCTTGTTGATGTTTCAAAATGAAGGCTTTGCAGTTTCAAAGAGGACATTTGTTTCTTGTTAGGTTATTGTTGGGAAAATACTGAATGTACTCTTCCAATATCAGAGTAGCACATGATAACAAAGGCCCTACGTAGCTGTGTACATGACAGGATGTGATTACCTAGAAGAGCGTCAGGACTGTTTTAGACATATGATAGCTATGTGATTAACATGATGATTCAGCCTCTATGGAGAGAGACATATGACAAGCATGATCATTTCTGACGTGGAGCTAATCTGAACTAAACATTGAATACTGTTTTGAACCGGTATTCCTGCATCTTGTGACTGTGTAACTCCCTCTCTTGTATATAAGCATGTGAAGGACACTGTTCAGGAACTAGTTGCACCATATGCTCTGTATGTGATGACTACTTCCATTCTTACAAGGATAATAAATACCAGTGGCGAACCGTGTCTATCACAACTGGACCTTCTGTAGACACACAAACCCCCTGCCGCCGCCTCCCCCCGCCCGGCGTTATAATGTCAGTCTTTTCACTGAATTGTCGTCTTGGAAAGGGTACTCACAACAATTTCCGCAACAACTTCACCTGTTGCACTTGTCATTTCAACGTTAAAAACAGTAAAACAGCATGAATTGCTTCGTCGCATTCATCTAGATCGTCTGTCTCGAGCCAGTTAACTAGCGGGCCTTCTAGAGTACCCTGGGACCGAGGGAAACTCTGAAAGAATACGCCCATTGTCTACAAATCAATATATGATTGGTTGATCAAACTGTCAGTCCAAACGTAAGCTCTCATTCAGTGCAATGGCCAGGGCATTCGATCAAGGATGCAATACCTTGGTTGAAGGATATTCTACCCAGAGACCCAGAACAAGATCTGATTGGTTGCTTTCTTTTCTAACACAAAACCACTGAAATGCGTAGTGCATGGTCCGAGAAGGACAAAAAAATCAACGTAACACTGTAATATTACAGATCAACAACAGATACGATTCTCATTTATTCATTTTATTACATTTTATTACATTTTATTTATATAATTAAATCGATTTTTTGTTTTTTTTATCTGAGTGTTCCAGGGTATTCTGTGAATACCTTGAAGGCCCTGACGGTTCGCCACTGAATAAATACATGTATCCTGATATTAAAGCTCAAGCCGTTGACGAGTGATATTTTCCTAACAGTTATCTAAAGTGAAAACATTTGGGAGGCAATTGTTCGACCAGGCTTTTTTAAGCGTCATCATACAATACAATGTTTTACAGTAATACTACATGTGTGTGGAATTCTTCTTTTCTTTTTTATTGTGGAAAAGTGGCAGGTAAAAGAGGGAGGAGGATGACATTTAGCAAAGGTCACAGACAGGATTTGAACCCATGTTATCATGTTATGCACGGGCGCCACAAAGCTAGAGTGAATCCTCCTCTCCTGACTGACTCGTCCTCTGAAGGTCAGCGGAAGATTAATGAGCTGATCGCTGACAGAGGAAGTGTGTGTGACAATGCGGCCTCCCTGTCTGCCTCCTCCTGTAATGATCATCATTTCCTCTTATCTACACCCCGCCGACTCCCCGCAGCAGGTAATTCAGAGTCAGTCTAGACACACCTGCCTCTCACCCCCACATTTTCCTGCCCTGCTGTCTCTCATCCCTGTCGTCAGGTGAAAACCTCATTATTCCACATTTTGGTACCACAGGGGATTAAGGGGAGGATAGAGCACAGTCTGCTGTGAGGTAGAACATGTGGAGTCAATTGTATTCATGCAGGAGTAGTTTTAAATGTTTGGGGATTTTCATTGAAAAATATTAATCTGTGTAATCCCATTTGACCCAAAATGTATGCCTGCACACACAGATCCAAAACATGCTGAATACAATACTGTTAACAATGTTCTTCAACAAATGACCAGACAATGCTTAGTTTGATGGAAAGTGAAAGTAAAATGGAGTTTGTTGCGCAAATGTTCTACAGCCCTATAGCCAATTTCATGATTTGGGAAAATGTATTTGATTTCCATTATTTTGAATAATTGGATATATTGCAACCAGAGATGGGGTCGTTCCTAAAAAAAAGTAACATATTACATATTTACATATTACTTTAAAAAAAAAAACTAATATATTGCACTACTTCGTTACTGTCTACATAAAGTAACTCGTTACTTTACTCGTTACTTTACTCGCAGGGCCGGCCCGCCCCTCCCTACAGGCAGATCACGCAGACTGCGGCGCACCTACAGTCTACTCGCGCCACAGTTTTGCCTCTGCGAGACTCCACTTGCACCCCCAATTACTATTGCATTAAGGAAGACATAACACAAGTCTTTCTTTTGATATGCTCTTTAATAAAATGGGCTACCAGCCACCACAACAAGCTAACAGTCTGTTAAATGGTAAATGGTAAATGGACTGTACTTATATAGCGCTTTATCCAGTCTTTAAGACCCCTCAAAGCGCTTTACATACTACATGTCATTCACCCATTCACACCCATTCATACAGAGCAGTGTACCTTACTCTAGGACCTAACATTCACACACCGTTGGCCATGCCATCGGGAGCAACTCAGGGTTAAGTATCTTGCCCAACATCGACATGTTGACTGCATGGGCTGTGATCGAACCCACAACCTTCTGGTTGAAAGACGACCGCACTCCCTCACAGCCACAGTCGCCCTGTTAAACGTAAAGATACTAATTAATGAAACCAGTTCAAGACGCATTATTCTTATTCTTATCATTCTTTATGAGCGCAGTAACGGTAAGGTATCTAATTACTTATTTATTTAGTTTTCCATAACTTAGTAACCAGAGATGGGGTCGTCA